CTGGGCGAGTGATTTCCCATGGATGGACGAAAGTATCTTGCAAAAGGTTCGACAGATGGTGGAGGGTTCTCTTTATTGAGAATTCATATAGATAGTTCTCTGCCTTTCTTTTCCCTCACAGCACACAGCTAGCTCGATACAGTACTGGACATGGAACGCCTTCGCTCGCCAAATCGATCGATTCGAATCTCGACATTGTTCACGATAGTTCGCTTCAGATTCCCCAACTCAACGTTCGTCAGATGCAGTAGTATGGGAGCGATTATCCAACCACGCCGCATATGACAAGATTTTCACACCAGATCGTCTCGACAATCCAGGCGTACACATACAAGGTCCAAAAGGAGTAGAATGGATGAAAGGTACTTTATATGTAGTCCGCCTTTTCGGATCGACCGCAACCCCCACCACCCAATCTCATTCCAATCATCATCCACTTGTCATTCAAGACCCACTTGTCATCCAACCAACATCACAAATTTCTCACAAGACAATAATTGTGGCACTCAAATACAAGCAAACATAGCATCAATTCACTTCACAAAAAAAAGCCTCACAAGTGCAAACGCCAGCATGCAACCTAGCCAACCATGGTCTTCCATTGATGCTCGCAATCTCATACGTGTCCTCGCTCAACCGGCATCATCCACTTCTCGTTTATGGATTCATTCTCTTTTCATTCGAGATCCACCGATCATACAATCAGTATCACACACTTCTCTTTTCAAGTCGTCACACACCATCGATCGCGGCAACCAACACGAATATAGAAAAGAGCTCACTCACAAGTACAAACGCCTGAATGGGGCCCAAATCAAACAAATGTTTCCTCGGACGATTCGAGAAAGTCTTTGGAAGATCCGAGGAGAGCAGTCGAGTACATCGCTTTTCCCTTTGCCGATGCACACAAGATCAAAGTTCGAACGCATTTACCGAACAATCGATACATCATCAGCCGGAATGGTGCACTTGCCATCGCCATTAATCAACGGTTCCAATATTCACTTCACAAACAACTTGCATGATCAAGAGGGCATTACTTGATCATCAATCAAAATGGCGACATGATCACTCTTGCAACATCTTACACGACACTTGCTTTCTCACCCTTACGCCATCCTTTCTTGGGATCAAAGAACTCGTTCTTTGCTATTCTCACTCCTCCTCTCACACATCCTGAAGCAATATCTTGCTTTGCAACTGCATAAAAATAGAAGAAGAAAAGAAGAAGAAAAAGAAAAAAGAAAAAAAGAAAAAGAAAAAAGAAAAAAAGAAGAAGAAAAAAGAAAAGAAGATCAAAAAAGAAAGATAAAGAGACAGAAAAGATGAATAAAAAATCAAAAGAAAAATCAAAAAAAGATCTACTTCTCATTTGAGAATCACTTTATATCCAGCCAGCATTACCTACTTCTCATTCCATACTATCTCTACCACCAACACTCACTTCTCATCCCGCAACCGTCATCCACTTCACATCCTGCAATCGTCATCCACCTCTCATCCCGCAATCATCATCCACCTCTCATCCCGCAATCATCATCCACTTCTCATTCCGTCATCATCAACCTCTTATCATTCAACATCCATTTGACATTCAAGGCCTACTTGTCATTCAAGATCCAGTTGTCATTCAGTCACCATCACAAATTTCTCACAAGACAATGATTGTGGCACTCGAATCCAAGCAAACATAGCATCACTTCACATCACAAAAAAGGCTCGCAAGTACAAACGCCGGCATGCATCCCTAACCAAGCAAGGTCTTCCATTGATGCACCGGTAAATCCTTTGAAAATTCAACGAACGCCGTCTCATATGCGTCCTCACTCAACCGGCATCATCCAATCCTGATTCATAGATCACAGCTCATTCAAGCAGCATCATTCTCTTCTTGTTCGAAATCCACCAATCGTACAATCAGCATCACACACTTCTCCCACAAACGACTAAATGGGGCCCAAATCAACCAAGTGTTTCCCCGATCAATTGAAGAAAATCTTCGAAAGATCAAGGAGAGCAGTCGAATACATCGCTTTTCCCTTTGACGATGCACGCAGGATCGAAATTCGAACGTATCATCCGAACAAGTGAAACATCAGCCGGAATGGTGCACTTGCCATTGCCATTACTCAAGTCTTCCGATACCGTCACAGCAGCACCATGTTTACTCAACGGTTCCAATATTCACTTCACAAACAACTTGCATGATCAAGAAGGCATTACTTGATCATCAATCAAAATGGCGACATGATCACTCTTGCAACGTCTTATACGACACTTGCTTTCTCATCCTCACGCTACCCTTTCTTGGGATCAAAGAACTCGTTCTTTGCTATTCTCACTCCTCCTCCCACTTCTCCTCCCACTTCTCCTCCCACTCCTCCTCTGACACATCCTGAAACAGCATTTTGCTTTGCAACTGCATTAAAAAAAAGATCGAACAAAAAAAATAAGAAAAAGATCAAAAAAATAGAAATTTTAAAAAAGATCTAAAGGTCAAAAAAATAAAAAGAAAAAAGATCTAAAGGTCAAAGAAAAAAAAAAAAAAAAGATGACCTACTTCTCATTTGAGAATCACTTCATAACCAACCTGCATTACGTACTTCTCATTCCACAGTTATCTCTACCACCAACACTTAATTCACACCCCTCAATCGTCATCAACTTCTCACCCCACAATCGTCATCCACCTCTCATTCCACTCGTCATTTACTTGACATTCAAGATCCACTTGTCATTCAATCAGCATCACAAAATTCTCACAAGACAATGATTGTAGCACTCGAATACAAGCAAACATGGCATCACTTCACTTCACGAAAAGCCTCACAAGTGCAAACGCTGGCATGCAACCCTGACCAAACAAGGTCTTCCATTGATACACCGGTGAATCCTTTGAAATTTCAATAAACGCCATCTCATATGCGTCCTCATTCAACCGGCATTCGACCCCTTCTCGTTTGTGGATCAGCTCACTCAAGCGACATCATCCACTTCTCATTCGATGATCACATCTCATCCAATCGGTATCAATCTCTTGTCATTCGAGAATCACTCCTCACTCAAAAGGAATCATCCACTTCTTCTCAATTATGGATGACAGCTCATTCAACCGGCATCATTCTCTTGTCACTCGAGATTCACCCATCGTACGATCAGCATCACACACTTCCCTTTTCAAGTCTTCACACAACTTTGATCGCGGCATTCAGCACAAACGCCTGAATGTGGCCTAAATCAGCCAAGATCTTCCTCTTACGATCGGGTTGAAACCTTTCAAAATTCATGAAAGTCATCTCGTACGTTGCGCAAGATCGAATCATGACAAGGCATTCGAACAATTGGGACAAGAGGAGAAATGATACACTACACTTGACATCAACATCTGTCTTTCCTCTGCCCTCCTTCTCGTGCTCCCTCCTAAAACTTTTTGGCTTAACGTCCGTTCAACATTATGGAAGAAGTCCGTCATCATTGGTTGATAGATCGAGCTGGTCAAAGTTTGTTCATTCATGATGATCTGCACTCGTATTCAAGCAAAACTTAGCAGTCTCTGGAGAAGGAGAGAAACGGTGAATGGACCTAGACTGAGGGTCATGAGAAGGAGGAAGTGTAGAAGGAGGGGAGGAAGGAGGGGAGGAAGGAGAAAAGGAAGGAGGAGAGGAAAGAGGGAAGGAAGGAGGAGAGGAAAGAGGGAAGGAAGGAGGAGAGGAAGGAGGGAAGGGCAGAAGGTGGACGGGCAGAAGGTGGAAGGGTAGAAGGCGGAAGGGCAGGAGGAAGAAGAGCAAAGGCGGGAGGAGGAAGGGCAGGAGGAGGAAGTGCTGGACTTAACGCAAGATGCCACACAGAACTCATCAATAATGTCAGCCTAGCAGTCCCAACAGAAGAAATGGCATTACTTGACATCAACGCATGTCTTTCCTCTGCCCTCCTTCTCATGCTCCACCTCACACTCTTTGGCCTGCCAACCGTTCAACGTTACCGAAAAAGTCCGTCATCATTGATTGACTTGAAGTGAGGTCGATCAAGTCGGGCGAATTTTCTTCATTAGATCTTGACTCTGCACTCGCATTCACGGGGCTCTTTCAAGCAATCACTGGCAGTTGAAGAAGCATCGGTCTTGAGCGCAGACATCTTTGGATGACGGATCAAATCCACTATATCAAAGAAGCGCTCATCCTGTCCGACTTGTTGACGTGACGAGAGCAACATGTGCTCGGACTCCCCAAACACTTCCGTTTGACTCTCAAATGGTGGTTCACGCATAACATTCACGGTGGATCAGCGTGTCCTCACACGATATGCGCCAAAGGTGATTGAGGTTGAGCCTTTGCTGGTAAGGAGGGCCATTGTTATATTGCATGTCTTTAGTGTACAATGTAGAACATTTTTTTCGTTAATATACATCATTTTTTCGGCTATCGGTGGTCATATCATCCCTAATGATCGAGCTATGTTTGCAAGGCCACCACCGTTTGGTGCATCAGAAGCAATTTGTTCCAACAGATAAGATTCAAAGTTTGACTTGGCTTCTTCTGATATATCTCTGCTCTCATTATCAACCTCTGCATCACCCTCACTATCCTCGTCAGAACTTGCATATGCTGACAGGCCGACCAGAGCTGAAGTTGACGCTTTTGGCGGGTGACCTGTGTCTACCTTGATCTTTTTACTAGAATCGTTATCAAGTGTCACTGCTGCTGAACGCTTGGCCACATTCTTCTCCATAGCTGCGGTCGCCTCATCATCCCCACTTTCAACCTCTCCATCAACGGGAGAAAGTCGGACTCTCTCTGCTGACCCGTCTGCGAACTTTTGCGATAATTTTGATGATTCCCAGACTTCTATGTGAGGATACTCTACGATAGCATACCCTTTCGCCAATCTTCGTAAGATATCTTCGATGGTCTCTTTTCCTTGTAAGACTACCAGATGACGTGTAGCCGTGCGAGAGATCTCCTTTTGAGGGGTGTTGGCATCGTGATGCTGTGATATATCATCTTGAGTCTCTGAGTTGACCGCTTCCAGTTCTCTCTTCTTTTGCATTACCCTTTGTGACTGCAGCCGGTTGAGAAGGAAGGATGAGATCAAGCCGGACTGCTCCGCTGACTCCATTGATGTGTTCTGTGTTGCACCCTGTATCAATTCAGGCAATCCTTCTTTCTCCACTTCTTCTGTTGCAAGACCTTCAATGGGAGCCCATTCACCATTCCTCTTCTTCTCGAGAGATAGTTTCTTTTCTTCGTCAAATTTGAGACCACCTTCTAACACCATTCCATTCCGTACTTGCCGTTGCCACCATTCCAGAAATCGCGCAGAAGTTTCGTTACGCAACTTTTCCGAGTGTACTGGAATAACTATCATGACTTGGTTCCTGATGTCTTCGAATGAGCTCATTTTTGCCTCATCATTCCCCTCACGCTGCGTACCGAATAAAGCTTCCCAAGCGCTTACTGATTGATCGCTATCATTTTCGACATTTTGACCTGTCGCCTTCACACGTAACCTCTTTTCCATTTCTGATCGAACAGTTTCTTCTATGCTTCTGTTCCATGGTATATGATGTTGTATCACTCGCTTCGATCTTCGATCTTCCGCTTTTCCACACGGGAAGGATATCTGAACTGTACACATCAATTGTTGTTGTTGCACTTTGTACCTTGACTGATTCTCCTTTCTAGCTGACATTCCATCTGGCAATAGCATGATAGGGACTTTTAGTTTTCTTATGCTTTGCTCATATTGTTGTCGATTGCGTGCTTCCGATGACAGCTTCTCTGTTGAAGTATTGAATCGACCGCCTTGATTCTTTGATGATGGCCGCGAATTCCTTCCACCTTGTGAGCCAGAAGGATTCTTTGCATCATTATCTTGATCTGAATCTTTGTACCATCCTTTCTTGATCAAATCTTTGCCTAAAGTAGCAATGCTTCTTCCCATGAATTGCAGATACTCAAAATCTTCCATCATATTTGCTTCGCCGTATGCATTCATGGGAATGAATTTATCAATATTGCCAAAGTTGTTAGCATTGGGTGCAGTGATTGTCTCACTTGCATTGCTGAATTGCCTCAATGAAGGCAAGAGCTCCTCTTTGTCTGTAATGGAAGCTGAACATGCTTGAATGCCTGGATCGGAGGATGTTGAAGCGCCAGCAAAGCCGATATCTGGATGGACGTCACTTTTATGCTTTTTGGAGCAAATCAAGCTGCAAGTCGGACTGGTACATTTTGGACATTTGTACTTTGACGAACTTGCTCGACACACAATGCAAGCTTTTGAGATTGCAGCTGACATGTTGTATGGTCATGAGACTTATAATATCATCTTTGACTATGAGTTGGGATGATGGAGAAAGAGGATGAAGCATTTATTCTGTAAAATTTCCAAAAAAAAAAAAAGAGCCGATCGGAATTCGGATTAAAATTTGTCTGTGCGTTTGGCCTAGTGGAGTGATTTAAGACAACAAATGGGCGGGTGCAATTAATTTAATAGCCTTCAGTTGTGTTAAGTCTACGCGTACCTTTTCAGCTTTAACAACACCATCATTGATTATCCATCTATTGAACGACAGCAATCACAATTCCAATCAATCAGCTTATCACGTTCATAATCACATCTACACTATGTTCAGTCCTCAAAGACGTCAAATCTTGGGCGCAAAAGGACGTTTGAGTCCAAAGAAGCCCGGTCTTGGCACAGAAGAAGCAGCAAATGTTGGACCAAAACAATTATTCAACGATCTAAAACAGACATCATCCAAGAAAGCATCAACTTCAGCATCCATATTTGGAGGAACAAACAAGTCTCGTGCATTTGGTGAGAAAACAAACAGATCTCCTCAACGATCAAATGAAGAACATGACGCGGGAAGTGTACCAGTCAAACCGAGAACCACACATAGCCCTACCAAGGGAAAATTGAAGTCCAGCATTCAACGTTCCGGTTTCGTCACTCCATCTGCTAACATTGGCCACGCAGGTGCATTGCGAATGCAGATGGGAGAATTTTTGGATGCAAGAGCAGGGAATGGAATTCAATCAGTGGAAAAAAGTGACAGTTCCGTGACTGTAGATGGAAGAGTCATGACCGAGGAAGAATTATACCCAGAGATCGAATATATGCCACCTCCTGTTGAAGTCCCTTACGACTTTCCAGCAGAGTTAGATGGCCTACCGCGTGGAGCAGAGATGGGGGATATGCTTCAATCAATCGTTGCAGAAGGTTTTTACAAACCACAAAGACCGGAATCGATCGAAATGCAAAGACGAGAGGATTTGGAGAATGTGCCTGATCCTTCGATCGACGACTTTGTGGAGAAAACGTGGCCTCAAGTGGAGCAAAGAGGAGTGAAGCCGCTTGAAACGTCAAAGAGGACCGCTTCGTCATCTCATGGAACAGGAAAGGCACCATCAGTCCGCCCAATTACCCAAGCGATTCGCAAGCCTTTCACATCATCAAGGGAAACCAAATCAAACACACAAACCACAGGAAGACGAGCACCGGTTGTTACGGAAAAGAAAGCAGTTTCTGTCCAAAAGAAGCCCTTCAGTACCGCCTCAACCACTCCAAGAACCAACCTGGCATCAAAGAGCACTGGATCAAGTGCTGTTCCATCCAAAGTAAAAGCATTATCTCTTAAGGATAATAATACCCAAGTACGTCGAGGAAATGGACCGACAAAGTCAAAGTTGGATGACTTTGAGAATGACAAATTAGCCAAATCGATTCAAGCCAAATTCTTGCGTGCAGAGCAGGAAAATGGTTTTGAAGGATTTGAATTGTAACGACCTTCATCTGTATCATATTATATCTTCATCTATTCACATTATACCTTTATCAAGCATATTTAATTCATTCTTTCAATAATTCGAGTACCACAAGTCTTCATGACAACGTCTGATCGTGATCTGAGGATGACGAGAAGGGATGTTGCTCTTGACGTGCACGCATTCATCAACGCGGATGAGAATTGAAGCGCGTTTGATCACGTGCTTATTTGACCACTTTCCTCTTAAAAGTTGAAGCGAGTCACGAGCGGGCAAATAATTTACGCTACACTTTGACACCTTTCTTCCGATATCCTTGAGCTTCTTCTGTCACAATCAACCAACATCCTTGCTACGGACTTAAGCTCAATCATCGCTTATAGTCAATTGTAACATCTCTTGTTGCATAAAGGAAAAGAGTTCATTCTTGGCGGTCTGCCTCGCCTATCAAAACGACGATCATCTCGCATTGGCAAACGGCTTATAGGCCGATCTGTGTGGGATATAAAAGACAACTTTACCGCATTCACAACACAAAAAGGATCAATTGGGGATCGCCAAACCTAATCAAGCTTCAGCATAGAGCATATACAAACATGGCATCATCGGAAGCAGCACCTTCTGGGCCTGCTACAGGTGCCGAAGTGAATGCAAACGGAGGTCCAATTCAATTGGAGAATACGTCAAAGCGTGATTTCCTGACATCTTTGGAGAAAAAATATCAACAACAATGGGAAGCCGAAAAATTGTTCGAGGTAGACTCACCAATGACAACCGAACAAGGTCTAGAAACTCTTTCACCAGAAGAGATTCGGGAAAAATACCCAAAATGGTTGGGAACCTTTCCTTATCCATACATGAACGGCTCTTTGCATTTGGGACATGCTTTCTCAATGTCGAAAGTTGATTTCATGGACGGTTTCCAACGTATGTTGGGCAAGCGTGCTTTGTTCCCTCTTGGTTTCCATGCGACTGGTATGCCTATTCGTGCGTCTGCCGACAAATTGATTCGAGAGATTGAAATGTTTGGCAAAGACTTTAGCGGATATAAAGAGGAGGAAGAGCCAGAAGAAAAATTGGAACCTGATACTGACTTAAACGCAAGCAGTGTAACGCAAAGCAATGTCGCCAAAGCCACAAAGGGAAAATTGCAAGCAAAGAACACTGGTCTCAAATATCAATTCCAAATTCTTGAATCAATCGGTGTACCACGCAGTGAAATCCACAAATTTACCGAGGGAAAGCAGTGGTTGGACTACTTCCCACCGATCGCAGTTGCAGATTGCAAATCCATGGGTACAAGAATTGATTGGCGTCGTTCATTCATTACTACTGACATGAACCCATTCTATGACACATTTGTCCGCTGGCAAATGAACAAGCTCAAAGCTATGGATAAGGTCAAATTCGGTGAACGTTACACAATCTACTCGCCTAAAGATGGTCAACCATGTATGGACCACGATCGATCAGAAGGTGAGGCTCTAGGACCACAAGAGTACACAGGTCTCAAGATGGAACTTGTACAATGGAGTGCTTTGGCCGCGCCGGAATTGGATGCCAAGTTGCAAGGAAAGAAGGTCTATTTGGTCGCTGCCACTCTTCGACCAGAAACTTGCTATGGTCAAACGAATTGTTTCGTCGGACCAAACATCGATTACTCCGTCTTTGCTGTGAATGACACAGAGGTCTTTGTCACCACGCCAAGAGCAGCACGAAATATGACATTCCAAGGAATTACTGAAAAGCGTGGTGAAGTCAACACAATTGCTACAATCAAAGGATCTCAATTGGTCGGAACAAAAGTTCGTGCACCTTTTGCCATTTGTGATGAAGTTTACGTCCTTCCAATGGAAACAGTTTTGGCAACAAAAGGAACAGGTGTTGTCACTTCTTGTCCATCTGATTCTCCCGATGATTTTGCTACCTGGACAGAACTGAGAAAGAAGCCCGAATACTACAAGGTCGATCCGGCATGGGTTGCACAACCTCCTCAACCTGTGCTTTCGACACCCACTTACGGTGAAATGACAGCCGAGGAATTGGTCAAGAAGTTCAAGATTCAAAGTCCCAAAGACAAGATTGCATTGGCTGAAGCAAAAGAAATTGCCTACAAAGAAGGTTTCTACAGCGGTACAATGGTAGTTGGACCGTTCAAAGGCTTGCCTGTTCAAGACGCCAAAGGAAAAGTACGTGATGCTTTGTTGGAGGCCAAGCTCGGATTGGCCTATGCTGAACCCGAAGGAAAGATTATCAGCCGAAGTAACGATGAATGTGTTGTAGCTTTGTGCGATCAATGGTACATGGATTACGGAGAAGATTCATGGAAGGCATCAGCACAAAAAGCTCTACGTGCTATGAATACTTTTGCCGATGAAATCTTGAACGCATTCGAAGGAACTCTCAATTGGCTACATCAATGGGCTTGTGCTCGTAGTTACGGATTGGGTTCTAAATTGCCTTGGGACAAAGAATTCCTTGTGGAAAGTTTGAGTGATTCAACAATCTACATGTCTTACTATACCATTGCACACTTGCTGCAAGATGGTGACATCTTTGGTTCAAAAGTGGGACCTCTAGGCGTCAAAGCGGATGATTTGACAGATGATGTTTGGGACTACATCTTGGGAGATGTTCAATACCCTGCCGCAAGTGCAAACACATCTGTTACCAAAGAAGTCGCTGAACGTCTTCGCCGCGAGTTCAGATACTTCTATCCTATGGATCTACGATCGAGTGGAAAGGATTTGATCCCTAACCATTTGTCTTTCTGCATCTACAACCATACAGCTCTGTTCCCTGAGAAACACTGGCCTCAAGCTATTCGTATCAATGGACATTTGATGTTGAACGGAAAGAAGATGAGCAAGAGTACCGGAAATGCATTGACACTTCGTCAAGCCGTTGACAAATTCGGAGCAGATGCCTGTCGTATCAGTTTGGCAGATGCAGGTGATTCCATCGAGGATGCCAACTTTGAGGAAAAGTCTGCAAATGCAAACATCTTGCGTTTGCACACATTGTTGGATTGGTGTCAAGAGATGATTGATAATCAAGACAAACTACGAACGGGACCAAAGGATAATTTCTGGGACAAAGTGTTTGAGAATGACTTGAATACTTCCGTCGAACAGGTGAAGGGCTTCTATGATAACATGCTATTCAAGAGTGCAGTCAAATACGGCTTCTACGAACTACAAGGATATCGTGACTCTTATCGCGAAGCGACTGTGGAAGTGGGAATGCATCGTGATTTGGTGATGCAATTCATGCGCTTGCAAGCATTGCTAATGATGCCAATCGCTCCTCATTTCTCTGAACATATCTGGCGTGGGATCCTGGGCGAGAAGAGTACTATTCAATCGGCACGTTACCCAGAAGTGTCAGCACCGGTAAGCAAGCAAACTTCCGAATCAGCAACATACATTCGTGGATTGATCAAAAACATTCGTGACACAGAATTGATGATTCTCAAAAGACGCAATAAAGGAAAGAAGGAAGTCGGTGGAGACTACGATGAGAAGAAGCCAAAGGCTGTCAAGGTCTTTGTGGCAAAACGTTTCCCGGAATGGCAAGATCGTACGGTAACAGCGATTCGCAAATGCTTCAATGACGAAACAAAGACGATTGATATGTCGAAATTGAAGAACGAATTGGTTGCTGCCAATATGATCAAAGATAAACGTCCAATGCCTTTCGCACAACAATTCAAAAAGAGAATTGAAGAATTTGGAGCAGATGTTGCATTCAATCGTTTGTTGCCATTTGATGAAATTGAAACAATTCAAGCAGCAAGTTCATACCTAAAAAGAACGATCAACTTGCAAGAATTGAACCTCATTTCAGCCGATGAGGTTTTGGCAAAGCCTGACGGACCCAAGGAAGCAGGTGTTGATCCTCGAGCTCTTGAAAATGCCGAGCCAGGATCGCCAGCCTTTGTATTCTACAACGTTTAAGATACTCTATTCTAAAATTATATTCCTTTCATACCTCGTCCAGCATAGTGAATTTGAAACTCTAAGATTGATCAGATTTGAGGTTGGCTTTCAGGTCGATGATGAGATATAAAATGCGATTGATAAAAATAATACAATTAATAAAAGAAATAATTCTTGTCAAATAAATTACGATGATCTTTGCGTCATTGGCATAAAGCCAAATCTAGGCAAGATGTTGCAAACATCCGTCTTGTCGATCGGCTTTGCCATCACTGCGTCAAATACGCCTCCAGTAGATTCAAGCAAATTATCAACAGCTTGAGAAGTTTGTTGAGAAAGCGTGCCTGCTCCTGAAAAAGATGCAAGTGCAACGATTGGCGTGATTGCGTTGATGTTTCGTGTTGATTTGATCATCTTTGCAACATCTTGTCCCGAAACGATCGGAAGTGTAACATCCACGAACAAAACCGAATATTTCGTTTCTCCCATTGCCATTCGCAATGCTTCGGCTCCATTACGTACAGTAGTTGAATTGCAACCTAACTTTGTCAAAATTCCTTGTAGCATTCTGGCAGAAATTGGATTATCTTCTGCGATCATACAATGAATCTCTTCTACCTCTTTGTTCGTAGTAGAGCTTAAACCATTTCCAAGGGCCAAAGGAGCGGTTGCAATCGCTGGCGAATTGGTATTGGAAGACTGGTTTGCACCGGATAAACCCAAACTTCCGCCTGAACCGCTTCCTCTTGTAATCGCAGGATACTCATCCGAAGAAGTAGGAGCTGTTCCTGGACTTGCTTTATTGGATCCTTCGGCGGTGACATCAGGAAGAACGTTTGAAGGAACTTGCAGCTGCCATGGAAGTACAGGTCGCTCTGATTGTGCAACACTTCCGCTTTGACCCATAGATGGTATTGCTTGACGAGATCCAGCACTGTTTCCGCTCGTGCTAGTTGAAGTTGTGCGCAATCTTGTTGGAAGGGAAGTTCTGCGAAGATCTTCTTCGTTCTGCGTATTTGCAAATTGTGATCTCTTGCGTTCCATCATGCTGGTCAACGGACCTGTAGCACTGCTTCCGCTTATACTTCCCATTGGTGATCCTGATAAGCCTGCATTGGATGACATTTCTGAAGGTCTTCTTCGGTGTGGATTGTGAATGCCAGCAGAAGCACTGCCCATATATCCGCTACCACTGACAAGATTTTGCATATGATATGATGCAGTATTTCCACCTGCACTGCCCAAAATGAAAGGTGCACCACTTGGTGAAGTCGGCGCAGTACTTTTACTGGGAACAGAACTTTGACTTGAAATACTTGTTGTTGGACTTGGAGGACCTGCTGGCATCCAAACTGCTGATCCACGATGAGAAGATGGTGTGACCACTTTTCCAGAAATACTTCTATGGCGACCATGAATGAGACCGATGCCACCGCCAGGCGTTCCAGCTTGATGTTGTTCCATTGCAGCACTCATACTGTTTAATTGATCTCCACGCATCTTTTTGATCACTTCATCGTTCGCTTGCTTTAAAACAGGTAAGTTCTTGTATGAGAATGACCCAAATTCGTCCGTTTGACCTTGCGATGAATCTTTTGCGTGTTTATCTGATTTTGTTCGACTACGTGTTGGAGGTCTACTTGGCTCACTAAATCTCGCATGTCCTTCGATCGCTTTGGCAAACTCTTTCATGCCCATATTGCTGGCAGCGTACGTTTCATTTGCTTCTTTGGTTGTTGATGTATTTCCTTCTTCATTTTGGAAGTCCATAAATGCAGCTCCTCGCAAATCGAAGTAATCTGTTGATTCTGGATCGGTAATTTGAGGAACAAAGGGACCCTCCTCATCTATCAAATGGTCCCAATCAATCCCTGCAAAGAACGGATGTGCTTTGATCTCTTGTGCTCCATTTGCACCCAATCGATTTTTGCGGTCTGTACACATCAAGCGTTCCATCAAATCCCGTGCTTCAGCAGAAACTTCTACATCTTCATCGTCCCAACTGATATTGCGCGAAAGGATATTGTCAAACACTTTCTCTGGTGTACTTGCGTGGAAAGGTGGATATCCGTACAAGAATTCGTACAAGATCACACCCAATGCCCACCAATCCACCGCTGCATCATCCATGCCCAAACCCAAGATACTCTCAGGCGCAAGGTAATCCGGCGTTCCGACAAATTTTTTCAATTGAGCACCTGAACCACTGCCAATTTGACCTGTCGAGCTGCCGATCGCACCCGCACTTCCGCTGCCATGACCACCTGCGACGGTGGAAGCAAAAGGATTCTTTGGACTATCGAGCAAAGTTGCCGATGGAATCTGACGTGGAGCAGAGGTAGTTGCGGAGCTTAATGCTTGGCTATAAGTCAGCACACCTTCTGAACCGCTCGAATCACTAGCATCAGTAGATGCACTCATGATACGACCGCGAGGATGAGTAGGCGTGCCAACATAGAATGGTTGAGATCCGATCAAATAAGGAGTATCAGGAATAGAACCTACTCTTCCCGATGGTATTCTTGCAGAAAGAGGACTATATGCCATTGATCCTGCGGCGCCTTGGCTTTGGACAGAGCTGATCGAATCCTTCTTCCCATGTTGCCACGATGAAGGTGGGGTACTTCCTGTTCCTGACACTGATCCACGGCCAGTATGTGAGCCAGCTGCATGTGAGGGTGCTTGCATCTGTTGACGATTTTGACGTCCAAGCAGACCAATTTTCGAAAGACCAAAGTCTGTTAGCTTCAAATGTCCTTTTTGATCGATCAAGAGATTATCAGGTTTCATATCACGATGAACAACACCTTGTGCGTGCAGCATTTCCAATCCATTCACCACTTCTGCAACAAATTGACGAGTCCAGTCTTCTGACAGCGTTCCCAATGCTTTGACCAAATTGGCTAAATCTCCACCGGGAAGGTATTCCATGACCAAGAACAGACTCTCTGAAGATTGGAAGGTAAAGAAGAGCTTGACGACAAAAGGTGATTGTGTCTGAGTCATCAAAATCATCCTTTCTGCTTTGACATTGGTGATTTGATTCTTGGCAATCATATCGCTCTTCTTCAATACCTTTATTGCAAAGTAATCGCCAGTCGTTCGCTTGCGAGTCAAGAATACTGATCCAAAAGCACCTTTACTGATCGGTTTGATAATATCGAAATCTTTGATGCTAGATGCTGTTGGACGAGAAGAAGGTGCCATTGGTGGAATTCGAGGTGAGATTGGCATACCACCTGCGCTTGCACTCAAATGCGGGCTGTGTGCCCCCATTGCTCGTAGGGAATGTGATACTCGACGATCCTTCACAGTTCGTAAGGGAATGGTCATCTCCTTTGGCGAATGACGAGGTGAAAGAGGAGGCGTTTGAAGGTATGTTCTTTCTCCGGACATGATTGATTCACGTCGCGAGTGAGGCGCGATCAGAGCCGAGGGTGAGCCTGGTCCTGTATTGCTACCACTTCCACCATCTGTGCCCGTAGTTCCTGCTCCTGTTCCTGTACTGGCAGCATCACCACCACTAGATGAAGAGACGGCAGATGTATCACGTTGCATTTGACGAATACGGGGAGCAATGTTTGCCTTTGTTGGAATCGGGATAGGACGGAGGACGGATCCTCCCATTGATGTCTCAACGGCAGGAATATCTTCTTCCCTACCCAACTCGTCACCGCGTGCTGAGAGTGTGGTAGAGCCCGGAACGGCAGCATCATCGTATTGTTCGAGCAGAACAGCAGACGCATCACCATCCATATCATCTAGATCATCTTCTTGTCCTGCAGAGCCTGAAGGAGCGCTTCCAGCCGTAGACTTTGGTGCAGATGACGAATGAGCTGTCATTGGTACGTCAACAGAATTGACACCTGATGCAACATTTTCTTGTTGGTTGACATCAGAATGTGAGATTGTTGAAGAAGAATGATGCTGCTCTTCAGAGTCATCTTGTGATTTTCGTGCTCCTGCGAGAGATTCATCTTCCTCTGCAAAGTCAGCAGTGATCTCTTCAGCGTCCATTGTTGTTCCTTGCAATTCAGCCAAAGCCTCTTCAACACGTTGCTCCCATTCCATTCTGACAGTTTCCACGTACACAATCGTATTCAACATTCGGTTCACTGCACTGAGCTTTCTGCGCATTGCAGCATCCACATCAGCGATTAGAAGATCAAAGGCTGCATCTTCTGACGGCAAAGAAACCATCTTCCAATTGCGGACTTGAACGATTTTGCTTTCTGAATCGGGTGACAATAATCTTTGCTTCTCTATCGAGTCTGCATCATCTTTTGTGGCCGGAGTGGAAATCGTACCTGCAATACGCAAAATGTCGATTAAAGCATTCAAAGCTCTCAAATGAGCCTTTCGAACAGCAGCCGGGTTTGGATGTCGCGGTGAAAGTGATCGATTAGCAACTTCAAGGGCTGTCGGAGGAAGTGTGGAAGCGGCAGGCGTCGAAAGAGGAATCGAACGATATTCGATGACTTCTTCACTTGCCTCGATTTGTGTAACGATACCTCGCGCAGATCGGCGTAAATCGGCCAAGATTTCGTTGCTTTCAGAGATTTCCATTTCCAATCTGTGGATCTCATTGCAAATTTCTGAATGCTTCTCGAAAAACCACGTTGGTACGTCACGCTCGCAAATTCGACACAACAATGGCTCCGTTGACAAAAATGGATGCTGTTGTCCGGCTGTATCAAACGTACTTGTTCCTGCTGCGACCGAGAGATCTCCAACACCTGCCGTTGAAGGCTTCTGTGGACCTAAAGCTTCTTCAGGTTCAGGCGGTCCTGTTGGCTTGAAAACCCACATGGTATGTGATGATGAGCCGCTTTGACGATCTTGCATCAACATTCCTTTACCTTCCATCTCTTGGTAATAGCGAGTGACACCATCCGAGTCAGGAATGATGGACGGGTGGACCAACAAACGGAAAGCAGCTTCAACTGTGCGCGAGTCATCCACCTGCAATTGTTGCGTGGCTTCCGCAAACGTTTGTGCATCACCAGGAGCAAGAACTTCTTCGATTGGACGATCGAATAATTCAGCTGGATCAGAACCCAAGACGGTTTGCCAAGCAGGACTTAGATACAAGAACCTTTCTCCATCCAAACTCAATTCCATCAAGATGTTTTGACTCTCCTTCACGGATGATGGCAAAGCTGCGGCTGTTGATGTATTTGCAGCCAAATCAACATCAGAATTCTTCAAATCGTCAGCTTTGACTAAGTCACCATTCTCATCCTCATCATCAAGCGCAGAAGCCAAGATAGGTGTTGACGAATGTGTCGAACGTAAACTGTCGATGTGTTCACCAAATGTTGCTTTACGATCTGCAGGTTCGATTGCTGGCGAATTGGTAGCACTGCTTTGTTGTGAGGGTGTTCGATTGGCATTCGCTTGTGCAAGAGCGGCGCTGCGGATAACACGCATTGGACTACTGCTTACCAAACTTCTTGCAAGTGACGTATTCGTTGATGGTAAAGGATCATTGTAGTCCGATGTAGATGCACCATCGGCAGCAGAAGAAGACGCACCACCTTCTGCAAGCTGCTGATATGTCGGTTGTTGTGAAGAACCCATGAAGAATTTGATTGGCTTTTGATCATTCTCATCGCCATCTTCTGCGAAATTCCAAAAGCCCCGTTCGGCCTCCCACCATTCAACAACACGACTCAATCCAGCAACAGCCAATAACAATTGCACGTACCAGCCACGACCAGGCCAAAGTGGATTCTCTTCCCATGCTCGTCCGACATCTTGTACGCTAGAAATGATTTCTCTGCAAGCACCCGTTCTAGAAGTCAAGTTGTGAATAGTTGTATCAAGCACATCCATGGCAATACTAACGAGGTCTTGCAATGGAACGATGAAAGGATCCAATGGTGCATCATCCGGCGGTAAAGGTCTCATACGACGCGCAGGAGAATATTGGGGAGATTCGGCACCATACAAATTTGCTGTTTGTCCTCCAGCTGCGCCTGGCATTGGTGAATGTGACCTAGAAGTTGACGTTGAGGTCAATTCCCGGGATCTGTTCCGATTGTTATTGCGAGACATACTCCTGATCATACCGGATGGTGTACGCTGTGGCGGAGGTGGTAGAGAATACTCGCTCTTGTTTGCTGCATTGGCACTTGTTGATGGCTGGCGGGAGCGTTGTGATTGGACCGGATCACCGAAATTATCCACATGTTGTGTTTCATCAGGATCAAAGAGTGGCTCGACTGTCTTATCGTTGCTTCCATTACCCTCTTCTGCCTTTAGCTCTGAGATTTTAGTGTTCACATCCGACCTTTGTGCATCATCCAGGCTGTCTTTGACGTTATCGTGAAGTAAGAGAGCATCATCATCTCTACCAACTTCATCTCCTTGCCTTTCGATTTCAATGTTCTCCAAAGCTCTTCTAGTGGACTCTATCTCGTCTTGCTCATCTTGTTGCTGCTGTAAAACCTTCATTTGTTGTTCTTGTATACCTTCTTCAACAAAGGCATTGATTGCCATGATGATCTTACGCAGCTCACGATCGCAATTTTCTTTGGACAAGGCCAATCGATGATGGATATGACGTCTGATCGAATCAATCGTGATATCTTTGTCCGTATCAGATGGTCTTCTACCTTCGCCTGCGACGCTGTCACGTAATTTCGACCTACCACGCTGATTCATAAAAGAAGTAGAGGATGCTGGGCCTGGTGCAATACCTGAAGGAGAGCTAGCGGCACCGGCTGAACCTCCATTGCTGTTTGATTGCGGTGATCCAAGTGAACGCCCACTCTTTGGTTTCCATGCATCTGATAATCCGCTAGATTTAGGAGATCCAGTCAATTGCGGCTCTCTGTAGGACGGAGAAGACTTTGAAGATGCAAGTTGATTCTGAGGTACAGCCATTTCTCCACTGCCGCCAGAGCTTTGCGTTGCAGATGTCATCTTACCAAATGGACCGGCATCGAACGTACTCAAGCCATGCTCGAGATGGAGTGACAATTTGGGACCTTTGCGTGGTCTTCCCTGAGCAGAATTTAGACCGATTTCATCATCATTGCTCGCCGTCTCAGAACGGTCTTGATCAGATGTCAAAGGTTCAACATTTGCAACGGTTGTATCCGACTTACGATCTTGACTTTGTTCTGCATGCATAGGAATAGGAGCTTGTTGAGCGGTATCGACAGATGAACGATCGGAGCGCAAAGGTTGTTGATCAACTGAAGATTCAGGACTGGCCACTATTTCTGCATTGCCATTTTCACCTTTCTTCAGTGGTTTCAAATTTTGAGCGGAAGAAGATGCACGAAGAGTATGAACCGACTTTGCTTCTGAAGCTTGTCTGTGGGTTTGCGATCGAATATGACCCGGTCCAAATCCACTTTCACCAAACATAGATCTGACATGCTGGATATCCGCGCCACCTTGGAAGCCAGCTCCTTTGTGCGCTTCATCGGGACTCTTTCGATCTTTCACGTCCATCCTACTCATATCTCTAGTCATATCGCCCATGCCAGCAGCGATAGAAGCACGCATAGACTGCCTCGAATGAGCTGGCGCGGATGCAGGCGGTGCATTGGACGCCCCAACAAATCCTGATTTGACTGCACCCCACCAAGCCTCAATCTTGCTACCCAAAAGCTTCTTGCGTCTACCACCGGCAGTATTGCCAAAGCCAGATTGACTAGCAGAAGAGAATTGAGAACCTGAACTTCCGATCCGACTGGTGATAGGACTGAGCGATAATGTTCGTCCTTTATCTCCTGTCATCATTGTACTTGAGCGTCTACCTAATGATGCAGAGTGTACAGCCAAAGAACGTTCGTCCCCCTTGAAATCGCCAGAACGATTTCCGGATGAAGATGAAGGCAGAAAAGCCGAATTTGGCGAAAGTGTTGCTGACCATGATCTAGTACCGTCGGCAAATTGATTCGATCGAATTGGCAATTCGCTCGGTCTTCTTTTGGGCAAACGCTTTCCATCGCCATAGTCTAGATTGGATGCTAGACTCTTAGAAAGAGTCAAAGGCGCAAACGACTTCTCATCTCGTTCTTTGGAAAAGCTTTGCGATGCTTGCATTTGACGAGGTGAAATGGAATCAGCCGAACTTTTCACATTTACAGGGCTAGAAAGTCCTGCCTTTTTCACTTCACTTCGTGCACCTTCATCGGCAGCAGTTTCTTCTTTTTCCACACGTAATTTTGCCTCTTTCATCCTTCGGTATTCGTCTAACCAATCAACCCATTCGATTTCACGTCCTGATTCGTCACTCAAATTATCTTTTTGATCCGACAAAGAGCCGACAGGTGAGACGTTGGGTGTAGCGGCAACTTTTGTTTGCGATTCACTTCCATCTTTGATCGCTTTGGCATCGTTACTTCGGTCTGCACCTTCTGTGAACAGAGCATATCCAGGTAAACGTTGCTGTGATTGAGAGGAGGAGCCGGCTTTCCACTTTTGCATCTTTGCATTTCTTGATTGAATGATAATACGTGCATATTCATCAATCCCTTGCGGTGTTTGAACTGTGCTTAGCCTGCGCGTGCTTGCATCGCCACGTTTTCCCCTTCCACGTATAGAGGTAGCATGGTTCAAAGATGATCTTCCTCTGAACGAATCAGCTCCATCTCGACGATTTGAAGATGGTAGTGAAGAACCATCAATATCGTCATTTTGCACTGTAGCTGCACGATCCCTTTGCTTATCCGTATTAGAAGTGCTTCCTTCACCTGTAGATGAAGGTGGATAAAGCATACTCTGTCGCATCAATGGCGACGCTTGCGGTGAGTAATTTACAGCTGGCAAAGCAGAAACAGGTCCAACAGCAGCATGTCGACGGTCAAAAGAAGGAATCTGGACAGAAAGTTTGTTTGGCGCATCTTCTTCCTTGGGATAGAATAAACTTTCACTCATTCCATCTACATTTGGTCGCCAAACAACGGGTGAATTGCGCCCGGAAGTAGAAGTCGAAGAAATGATTGCCGAATCGTGATAAGACATAGGTGAAGTACTCCTTCCACTGTTTGGATTTAAGCTGAAGGCTTGATCCGGAATCTGCAAATGTGAATCATTACTATTTGAGCCCATTCCAATACCTAATCCATGACCAGTATTGTTGTAATTGGTTTGACCTTGTGTCTTCTCTTGATGCAAATTTTCGTTAAAGGGATGATCAAGTGTCCTGGGAGACATATGCTCTGCCATTGAAAGACCAGAAGTTGTTTGACTCCGCACACGAGATCGCACGTAATCTGGAGGAACTTGTGAAGACGTTGACGTTCTATGACGCTTTCCCTGCGAGGAAGATTGAACAGACTCCTGATCTCCTTCTGCATCAGGCGCAACAGCGTAAGAAGGATAGCTGGTCGCCAAAGCACGAGTGTCTGCCCCAACCGTTAATAACTCCCCACGACGGCTAACAACACGTAATGTTCCACTTGGCGTCGACGGGACCGAATGTTGGCCGGCGAAAGAAGCTGAAAATGGTACGGAAGAAGTCAAATTGGACGATGCACTGAACGAGCCAGTCATCGAAGCGGGAGGTAGAGCGGAAGAAGACTGTTGATTTTGCTCGTGCAACTGACGAATCTTGGCACTTTCCGCCAAGAGAGAACTTCCAGGAATCTCTGCATCTCCAGCACGAATTGCTGCCACAAGATCCGGATCAACACCATCCGGCCCTCCAATGGATGTTGCCAATTCTCCGAGAAGTGAACCACCCAATGAACGTGCTCTACGATGAATACTGGAAGTAGAAGCGGACGTGTTTGATCGTACGCGATATTGAGGAGTTTCTTGCGTGCCGTATTGTTGATCATGACTTTGGGCTTGCTGCTTTGGTGTAGCATTGCTCAAAGCAGCAAATGAAAGATTTGGGCTGTTCGCTGTCTGAGCGTTTGGAGTTACGTGGCTGTATCCGGTTGAGCCTGTAGATGAACCAGACGCAGAACGAACGCTTCCATCTTCACTTGTCGCTTCTGATACCCGTCTACTGCCACTTATACTGAGATTATTCGATGCACTTCCACCTCGGCCACGTTGCAGCAGAGCACGAACTTGCTTTGGACCTCCTTCTCCTCCTTCAGGTAATCGAATTGAACTGGAGCTCACGCTGGATCCATGTCCGCTAGATTGTCCGCTACTCTTTCTTGGAATCGTTAAAGGTGGGCCCATAGTTGTTGAAGAGGAAGATGCATGACCTGATTTACGCGCCGACAATTTTGGTGAGACGGCAGGACTGCTACTGTCTGTGTCCAATTTGGGGCTCTTTTTCGTTCTTGAGCTCTCTGCGATTGGATGAGTTGGATGATTCTCCTCCTTGATAGGATCCTCTTTTTGAATTACCTCTGCCGTTCCTTTGGATACTGTTCCGCGGGTCGAAGATGAATCAAAGCTACTCGATTCACCTTCAGCCTTTTGTACTCCAGATGATTCCAAATCGAAATCATCAGCTGCTTCGGTGGGCAGCAAAGGAGCATATGCTAATGGACTGGAGAAGGACGGAGCTGTATCGAACAAACTTCGGCCATGCTTTGCAGTAGTTGGGCTTGGAGATCCGATGGCGTGGTGAGGAACGTTGAGTGGGACTGCTAGCGAATTGTTTGGATCTGCTGCTGCTGTATGACCGCTAGTGCTGCTATTCGAGCTGCTACTGCTGCCACTTCCTGCTCCTGCTTCCATGCTAATGGAAGACGCATGTCTTGAAGACGATCCTACATAATTTGGTGCAATTCCGCCTCGTTCGCGGAACAGCTGTTTGACATGCTGCGTTGGTACGGAGGTTGACGATTCCGGACGACCAATGCTTTCCAAACGTGCAAACAGTGAAGGAGAGCCTGATGTTGGACCGGATGCTTGAGCAACGGTAGTGCTTGCGTCACTAAATGCATCATCCGTATCGATGTCAAAGATTCCTGCTGTAGAGGAGGATCGATGAGTTTTGCGTCTACCCATAACAGGATCGTTCATTCCGTCATCTGGCGATAAGAATGAAGACTGTTCATTTCCCGTTCTGTTCTGCGAGAGAGCTGGATAACGCATGTTCTCATTGGAACTTGATTTGAATTCTGATCGAGATAGGATTCGCCTTTGCGTGCTTTGCGATGGATGAGCTCGATTTGGTGAAGATGATAATTTGCCGCCACTTCTTTGTTGTACGCTATCTCCGGACAATTCATCTGCACTCCATGCTGTCGAAGGTGAAGAAGTTTTTGGCGTTCTTTGATCAGACTGAGTTGTCTGACCTCTAGGCGGTGTTGAGGGCGGCGACATGACGTGATGAGATGATGGATTAAACGGTTAGATTTGTAGCGTCATTCCTCAATACAATGTCAATCGGCACCAATTTAGCGAATCGCAATCGAAACACGTAAGGCCAGCAGAAGCCAAACAGTATCGGATTAGGTTTCAAAGGCACTGCATCTGATAAGTGATCCGATTAGGAAATGACAGGTGATGATCGTTGTGAGAAGAAGAGTTACTAGTCCTACAACCGAAAGTTGGACTCCTGAAATGATCGAATGTATGCTGAATGCAATTCCACCTCAAGGAGGTTGTCTTTGGCAAAGAAAGGTATCGAGCCTTGCACTTGTTTTGAGATAACGCTCCCTTTGAATCTGCCACTGAATATTGCTCCTTGTACTTTCCCTTTAATCGTCACTTCAAAAGTCTTTGGTGGTCACGATGACTATAACGTGTGATTGCAATATGAAGAGGTATAAAAAAGTTATTTGCAATTGTAGGTGGCCTATCGGATAAGCGTGTTCAAAGTTGACTTTGGTCAGATAGCCTGTGTGAATCATCTTTTGTGAAGGGGGGGCAGGGGGAGTGAAATGCATGCAGCTTAAAGACGCAAAGATGCCCGCCTGCACGCACTTTAACCAAAGTCTGAACGCGTCCAATTTGTGCATATCTTTCTTGCCTTTGCTATGTGTGGTGGTGCACCCGGCGCCGGCACATGAAAGGGAACAACTAGAGAGGATGGGCAAAAGTCTGGCTTTTGTTTTTAGCCTCAAATGCAAAAGAAGGGGAGACTATAAAAATAAGCTCCATTTCGGCTTATGACGCGTAACCCGTTTGATTAATGCATGTAACAACACACACAAGGCGGCTCACCTTCTTTTGACAGGTGCCTGGTTTGCTTTCGTGGCGTTTGGCCTGTCGAGTGACAAGCCAGCCATCTCTCCGGCAAATGGTGGAAGGTGGGATGTCATACACATGGAGTCATTGAACACATAACACAATTGACAATCACAACAAGGCTAAAAATTACGTGAGTGATCTTGGCATACGCTCTGACTTTGTTGAGCTCGCATTTCCGAATTGAACAAAGTTTATGCACCTCACGCCTTGACATAACACTAAAATCTGATTTTTATAATACTTTTAGCCCGCTTATGTGCGCAAGCGCGGTAGAACTTCGCACGGCTTCGCAAGTTATTCCTTCTCCAGTTTTAACATAAACCCAAACATTCTTCTCGGACTGATCTTCTGATTCAATACCACATCATCACTATTCGGGTCACCAAATCGTTTCATCAGAATAGGTTAACAACAAAGACTTTCGGGTAAAAATTATTCTATCAAGGGAATTTTTTAAGGATTTGTGGCTACTGTATATCGCATATACAGACAAACAAAGGTAAGCAGTTGAGAAAAGTGCTGATTGGATTTGATGGGTCAAAGGGGAAGGGAGCAGGCTTTTCTCTCTGGACGCAATGACACTTCGAAAGCCTACCTCGAACAAAGGTGTACAACCATGCTGGATTGTCTCCTATTTTGCATTGATGCCTGCAGAAATTGGGTCCAATTTAACGCTTGGGCCTCTTGCAAGAAAAGAGTTTGTGACAGCTCTCGTGAAGGATCAACGAATGAGCAAAAGGAGGAGATCAAAGCAAAAAGGATTTAGCAGCGAAACAAGAGATGCTTTTATGCAGGCAATCTTGCAACACAGGAACGCTGCTGGCACGTATTAGGACGTTTGAAAGTGTCGATGTCCAGCCTTTAATTGAACGGATCTCGTTCTTACCGCTCTTCTTAAGGAGTTTCCTTGTACTTGGTGACGAAGTGCTTACTGACTGTACTTCTATCTTATCTCGACCATCCATCCCTACTCTTCGTCTTGTCCCAATGCCAGATTTAAATCGGAAATCCAGTGCATCTCTTTCTGGAAGCAAACAGAAATCAAACAGCGCTTCCCACCTTCACATCAAAGCTTTCACAGATCGCAGCTCACAACGATATACACCTCAACACTCCAAACAATCTGCATCTGATTCAACATCAACATTACAAAATACAAGTGCAGAGATGGCTGCACCAGGCAGTAGTGGAAGCCAATTAGGCATGCCACTAGAACAAGGCAATCGTACAACACAATCTACAACAAGTAGGATGATGAAAACTACCCGTAGAGGTCGTCCGTTTGCAAAGGTAAGTGGAATGAGCACGATGATGATTTTGTATTGTTTCGCTTCCTTGACCCGTGGAGCTCCAACGTTTCTTTTCGGGCTACGTTTTCAAGAAGCGCCAAAGAAAACGAAATGAATTTGCGGCTTCCGTTGAAATTATTAAGGCGTATTCGTGGCACTCTTTGGCTTTGAAAAAAGGCAAATTGTTTGGTTACTGCCATTGATCGTCGCCCTGTTCCATTTTGATGCGCCCTTGATTGGTGATGTAGATCGATTCTGAGATTTCATCACTGAAGGAGTTATATATCGTGCATTGCATACTCAATTTCTTTCCCTTTCCCACACTCTAAAACTATTCAATAATCATGACGATCCCAAGCGGCCACTTTTCCATGTTTACAATTCTGACCAACTCTCCTTGCCTACAGGATACACATGATCTTTTTGCAACTTTGATTGTTTCACTGCAACTAACGACACATCGACATCTATTCAAATCATATCCTAATTCCTTCACCACCGATGAAGCTGCAGAGAATCTATCTGCCCTCAAGTTTTCCCAGTCGAATCGGGCACCGGATCCAAAAGAACCATCTCGGGTTATCACGACTACAACCACAACTACCTTCAGCATGAGTCGTGATATGGCAAAAGGTATTTGTCAACATTTCATGGATGCTAGGCTGATCGAGAATGCTGCTGATCTGGCCAGTACGGTCTTCAAAGATAAAGGAATCTACATGATCACGCCAAAAGGATTGCATATACTAGAACGTTTCATCACCAAGAACGGTATCAATGGAGAACATTTGGTGCAGGTATTTTCGACCCAGCCGATTTGCATGAAGTTGCTACACCTTGAAAGGCGGACGCATGATGATGAATTATTGATCAATCGAGCTGTCTTGGAAGTGATCTTTAGAAGATTTGCAGGACGTCAACCGAACCAAAGAGCTGGAGATAATGCGGATCTCGATCGTACTATGGGTATCGAAGTACAAGACGTATCGGAAAAGGCAAAAGGAGGAAGAGGGACATTGACAATCAAGCATACATTCACTGCTCTCTCAGCTCTTGAATGGCTTTGCGATTTTACCACAATTTGCGGACGAGATGAAGCAGCGGAGATGGCAGCACACTTTGTTCGACTCAAGTTTATGGAGCTTGTACAGGACAAGAGCAGCCGCAAAGAGAATGAAGGCGAAGGCGTGATTCAAGTTCAAGGCGATGATGGAGTAGGAGGAATATCTCAGGGTGAATTCAGATGTCACTTCAAAGTCATCTACGGAATGACGGATTGGGGACGAAGCGTGGCAAGATGGCCTGGCTATAATGCAGTCGAACAAGGGCAAACGTCCAGTTTCCAAAGCAGAGATAGGGCTTCGAGCATCAATGATAGTTATGGCGCACCAGTAAGAAGTGCTGGAAGTGCTTCACCCATGACAGGAACGGATGGCAATAGAAGTTCAACGTCTTTGCCTGGCATGCGTGGTTTACCTGCCAATTCGTTCTCCCAGCCACATCAAAATATCGGAGATACAGGCTCTTCGGGCGGATATAGATCTCCGTCGACTGGTTCTTTGGCAGATGATGCAGGTGGCTTGCGAGGTGGCTTGAAGCACAAATCTTCTCAATCTGATCATCTTCGAAATGATTTCTCCAGATCTAGGCAAAACAGTGGATCGGAGAATGATTTCCCTATGCTCAATTCTCGTGACAGTAACTCAAAACGATTAAAACAGATATTGGAAGAACCGGCATTACGATCAATCTTTCGTGATTTCCTGAAGCAAAACTTTTGTGAAGAAAACTTGAGCTTTTGGCTGGACGTACAAGATTTCAAAAGGAGGTTCAATACGACGAGTAGTGCCGTTGCTGTTCGAGGACCAGAAGGTTCAGCAGGATCAGCACGTGGAGAGGGTGGAAAAGGTGGCATGGGCGGTGCAATTCGTAAATTAGGCGGAAAAGGTTCTAATCATGCAATCAATCAAGACAGTTCAGGATGGTCTGCAATGGAAAAACATCAACAAGATTTGATCGCAATGGCTTTCGTGATATACAATACATATCTTGCTCCTGGCTCTACGTGTGAGCTTAACGTCGAACATAATATGCGAACCGAATTGGTGACTTATATGACAAAGATTATTCATGATGCAAAAAGTGGCGCAGGTTTGAATCAAGTTAGTGCAAAAGACGTTCATCGTAATTCATCGGATGCATCAGGAAATTTGGAAGAAAGAAGGAGAGCAGTCTTTGCTGCAATGCCAAGAGCTCCTTTACATGCATCTCAACTGCAAACCATGGTTCGAATGTACGAACGTATTCAGGATCACATTTTCCGATTAATGGCAACCGATTCCGTTCCACGTTTCATCAAAGATCCTAAATTCTTGAACTTGGTTCACAGTGTAGAAGAATATGCTGAAGCATTGGAAGCCGGAAAAGTTGATCCTTCAATCAATGCAGGACCTGGATTGGGTAAATCGGTTGTGGATGCGATGGAATTAGGAACGAAAAATCATCGGGGTCACGAACATGAAGTAGATTTGATCGAAGCATTGCAAGATACCTCCTTCGATCAACAAAGAGGAATGAGAAATAATTTGTCAAACAGACATTGATGTAGTAATGTTGCCTTTTTTTGTGAATGTCAATAAAAAATGAATTTTGTATCATATGTCGAGAAGTACCATACCGCGAAAAGCGCAAGGAGTCATTCCAAGGTGAGGCGATGGTGGTGGCAACGTGAGGGGGAAAATTGCAAATCTGCCAGCGAAGCTATGCTGCAAACATTCTCACCGTACTTTCTGTGACTATGCATTGGCCATGTGATGTGTCAGAGGTGGGCTTCTCATCACTGTAATTCTGGAAATTATCTGGGCCGTATGTTTTATCACAATCGAGTTCATCTATCACCAAGGGTAATTCATGCTAAAGTCAGTAGGGAAGGAGACGTCAGCATCCTCTCCTTACTCCGCAATTATCATCCTCTTATTCATCCGCCATTATCATTCTCCTCCCTCTTCTCACTCCTCCCTCTTCTCACTCCTCCCTCTTCTC